TCCTCTCTGCCTCATTAACAATTTGACCTTCAAGTTCCTTTGTTGTAACTCTTCTGTAGCAGTGCTGCTGTTGAAGGATCAGATTTTCATTGTTGACTTAACAAAAATATTTCTGATTGTACAGTTTAACCCCATTATGCTCCTAAAAATAGTCAGTGTGTTGTAGATTTTTTTTTTTAATTGGTAGGCTGAAGTGTTTATGTGCTGGGAGGAATGACAGAGATGGTGAAATGAGACAAGGCTCTTATCTTTTAATTTCAAAAAAAAGAGCAAGATAGCAACTAAACTTTCAAATGTCTTTCTGTAGGCAGCATTGGGAAGATTTTATATGCTTTGCATTTTTAACATCAGGCTGAAATGTTTATTTTCTGTGTGTGGGAAGTCTAAGGGATAATGTTGAATCTGGGAATCCTTTTGGCTGGAATTTTCAAAGCTCTGCAGATGCAGAGGAGTGGGCTTTGTGTGCCCAGCTAACTTTCAAAGTCACTGGTAATTAAAAAGATGCATTGGAATGATCAGCCTTTTGCATTTGAGTGACCATGCTTGTGGCTCATGGTGTTGTTGTAGCTAAGGAAAACCCTCCCTCAGCCTTTGCTCACATCCTTCTGATTTCCTTGCACTGCTCAGTCCCAGCACGGGTGTTCTGCCAAGCCCAGTCCTGTGGGATGTCAGTTTCCTGAAGCATGCAGGTGTACCTGAGGAATGACTCCCTTTTTTCTTATCCTAGTTGCTCAATTCTGCTTGGTCTTGCAGCTTCCCACAAGCAGCCAGCTGGGTGCTGAGGAGGAAGCATGAGCTGTCACTGGAAGATGGAGGAGAATCAAGTCAGCAGGAGCTGGGAATATGGCAGAGGAAGTTCAGCACTGAGGGTGGAATTTGTGGAAAAACGGGTTTTATTGTAACCTGTTGGTTCCCTGATCTGCTTTTTCTCTCACAGCATATTTCAGTCATCTGAAACTTGAGAGGTGCTGTGAGGCTTGGGGGCACCTCCCACTGCTGCCCACCCACTCTCACTGACGCCCTTCTGAGTAACTGGAGGTATGAATTGTTATCCCGAGTTCCCATTTCTGTTGGGAAATGCAGCAAGCAGAGATGGCAGGTGGTAGGAGCACTAAAGTGGCTGTTTAAAGCTCTGCTGGCACACTTGACAGCCTGCCTTTCACACCTCTGAAATTCCACTTAAATGGCCTAAAATCTCCCCCAAAAAAGCCTTCAAGGCAGGCTTGCTACCCTGAGAACATGGCAGGTCCTTGATGTGAAGGGTCCTTGGGGGTGAGAATCCTGCTTGTGTTGCTTGGGATGGACCTTGCATTGGGTGTGCACTTCTGATCAAGTTAATCCCCAAAGCAGGGGCACTGAAGTAGCTCTGAGGAGACCTTTGCAAGGAGCAGCTGGGCAGATGCAGAGCTTTGAAAATTCCAGTCCTGTTCAGAAGGATGCTTGTAACTCCTGCTGTTCCTGTGGTGTGTGGGGCATGCAGGAGCTCCAGTAACAATGCTGTAGCAGCAAGTAGAGTATTTTTCATTGGAAAACCACTGGACTGCAGGTTTTTAGTTGATCTGTGTGCATACTAAAAGCCTGGCCAGTGCTGACAGATGGCAACAGAGGTTGTTCTCCCCTGTTTCCTGAATACTGAAGCACTCATGGCTTTAAACAAGAGGAAAAGAAAGGAAAATTTCCCCTAAAGACATAAAATACCTGCAGCTTTCTGTCCTGGCAGGCTTGTGCAGTGGTTTGGTGGTGTATCCCAGATGGAGCAGATAGGAGATGGGCTCTGTCCCTTGGGCAGTGCTGCCCTGGAGGGACGGGTTGTGTGACACCACGGCACAGAGCGTGGCATTTGGTGTTTTAAACTGGATGGTGTGGATCTTTCTTGGGGGGAGGTGGGGCTGCATTGACAGCTTGGCAGGTTGGTGGGAAGGTTTTATTTTCCTGGGGTTTTTAGTAGGACTCATGCTGGGCAAGCTGAACCAGGGGAAGTCCTGTGCTGCTGCTGGGAGTCCCTTTAGTTTTCTCCCTTCCTGTGGACTGTGGCACCCAACCTGCTTGAGTCATGCTGGGGGGGACACTGTGCAGTTGCTTTCTAAAGAACATTGTCTTGATTTTTTTCTTTTTTTGGTTTTTTTTGGGTTTTTTTTTTGTTTTGTTTGTTTTTTGCACAAAAGCTTCCTTAATGAACAATAAAAACTTCTGTAAACCCATAAATTCGCATGTTCCATTTTTCTCCATGGCAAAGGTTCTTGTTGAGGTTCCCCTTGGCTGCTTGGCCAGGAGAAGGCACGTCCCAAGGTGTCCCTGGGAATCTGGGACTGAATGGATTCGGGTTCCCATTACGCTGCGTGTCCCATCAAGCCTTTGTTCTGCTGAGCAGGGTTGCAGGTGGAAGAGGCTTGCCTGGGATTGCTGTCTCTGTCTCCCCTGGACAAACACAACGCCTGCTGTGAGGCAACAGCCCCGTGTTGCAATCGCTGCCTTGCGCAGGCCACAGGGACTTCTTGATACCGGCCTTCCCTGCTGACTCGCGCTTAATGTGGCTTCCCCTGTGTCCTCATTCCCTGCCTGGTTCCAAATAAAGTATAAAAATGTCATTCAAAGGCAGAGAAAGAAAATATAAAAGTGTCATTCAGAGGGGCTGTCACGTGGCTCTGGGCCAGTTCTCCCTGTGCGTGCCCACCCTGTGCAGCCAGGTGAGCGCTGAGCAGCAGGTTCTGGGCTGCTTCTGACCTCCTGGGAATACCTGCCTGCCTCTGGTCCCTCCCTCCCTGCTGATGATTTTATAATCAAGGCATAAAGTGAGGGGTGTGGTAATTGCCCTGCGTAGGTGTGGATTCTCACTGCTTCTCCCAGCCCATCCAAGATTCCTCAGTCTGGGAGCAGCATAGGAGAGGAGCCAGCCACTGAGGACTCTTAGGAACGGCATGGAGAGCAAATGGAGTGGCTTGGTGCTGATCATTTCTGTGTGCCTGGGCTCCTACCAAGGTAAGGCCAGGCCTGGAGATAGGTAGGATGTGGACAGCCCAGAAAACCCTGCTGAATCCCAAAACTCTTCCCAGCTTTGGTGTCTAAGTTCCATAATGTGCTTCCTCTGGTGTTGGAGTTGAGCAGAGGAGAGCTGGGGAAGGTGGTACCACTGTCTGTGCTACCCACCTGGAGCTGAGAGTTGGAACTTTGGCCTGTAAAGGTGATCTCAGGGCAAAAGGGGTTTGTTCCCCCCCTTCTCTGGGATTCAGGTGCAGCTGGTGGTGTGCTGGGATGTGGAAGGAGGGAAACTGATGGAGTGGGGGAGAGGGGCTGCTCTCTCTACTGCCCTTGGTTTTGGGGCCTGGCTGTTGATGTGTGAGCTGGGGGAAGGTGCTTGGTTGTCACAACAGTGTGACCATGAAGCTGCCCTTCTCTTCAGGGTCCTCTTAGGTGATGCAGGAGGCAGGAAGTTGGCTCTGCTGTGGCTTGCTGAGCTCCAGGAAGGGTGATGGGGATCTCTCCTCACCTCAGGAGCCCTCTCAGCACTGGCACTTGGGTATCTGTGAGTGAATCCTCCTGCAGGCAAACCTCTGCTGTTGTCCCTTAGTCATCTATCCTCAGGAACAAAGCTGGGGAAGTCCTGCTTCCAACCCCAGCTCCTTGCTTGAGGGCAGATCGCTGCTTCCTGGGGCCATCTCCCCTGGAATAAGATGAGCTCTGCTCTTGCAAGCAAACCCCCCCCGTTTTAGAGTGAAGAGCCTCCCTCGCACCCCAGTTACCCCAGGCTTGGCCACTGGGCATCCCCAACGTGCCATGCCCAGGTTTTGTGGGTGCACACGCGTGACCCGCGCTGGCGGGGACGTGTCCGGGTGTTCCAGCCAGCAACAGGCAGAGCAGGAAAGTTCACCTGTGCTCGGCACGTCCGAGCCCCGCGGTGCCGCCTGCCCCGGGAGCCGGCGGGGCTCGGCCGCACGGCACGGGGTGCTGCGGCACCAGGGACCCTGCGAGCCTTGGAGAGAAGGCTTTGCGAGCTGGGAAAAGTGTATTTATGGCTCTTGCTGTAACAGGGGCGTGCGCCAGGCCGGGAATTGGGGCGCTGGGGCCCACGCTGCCACCCCCGGGGTTTACATCACAACCGGCTCGCCAGGCTCGGCCGGCTCGGCCGGGGCGCTCCGGGGAATGCCAGCACAGCCCTGCCAGAGCTGGAGCTCGGTGCTGGATCCCCCCTGAGAGAAGCCCACCCTATCCCCCGGGCCTGGCAGACAGGAATAGGGTAGTTGTGGCTGGCCTGGAACCGCAGTGGCACGGGAGCATCCCTGCTTTGTTCCTTTGCCAAAAATGGCATCATTTAACAAGGCTGCTGCCTGTGTGCCTGACAGCATGAGGCAGCTCCAGCACACGGCTTTGAGACGTGTAGGAGAGCTCACGGGACACCAGTTGCCCCAGTTGCTTACCCCGTGGCAGTGCTTTCCACCTGGGGAAGCTCCCCCTGCTCTCAGCTGCTGGGTGTTATGATTAGTCCTAATTACTTTCTGGCCCAGAACTTGCTGCCTGACTTTCAGCTTGAGCAGGGTGAGGAGTAAGTGCTGAGCTGAGGATCTCTGCGAGCCAGGGAAGTGCAGGACCAAACTACCCGTGTCTTTTAGATCCTCCCCACCCCACCACGCGGTCCGGGCTCCAACACACCTCCGTGACAGATGCTGCGGGAACAGCTCAGAAAAAAAGCTGTGGCTTTGTTGTCTCCCGCCTCCTTGGTTTTGGTGTTGCCCCTTAATGCCTCCGCTGACTTGCCATTCCTGTTTGCCCTGATGCTGGGGCCAGGGTTGAAAAACATAAATATATCCCTCTCAGCTGATGCGGCGAGCGCGGCATCGCGCAGCTGGGAAGGTGTGTGGGAAGCCTGGGAACCCGGGGGGACTCGCCCTGCCCCGGGGCCCGCCTGCCCCAGCGCTGCTGTCAGCCCGATGGGGAAATCGGGGCTGAAACACCGCCGGGTGCGCCAGCTCTTCTGAGGCAGGCGGGGATGGTGCGGGGGGCTGGGGACCCCTCTCCCCACAACCCCCAGCCCCCGGAGCTTTCCATGGTGGGCCTGGGCACCTCACGCTGCAGTCTCAGGGATGAGCCGGAGGCGTTGCCAAAATCCAGAGTGCAGAGAAAGGAAAGCGGCTTTGGGGAGAAACCCGATAAGGGGAAGGTTGGGTGGAAAGAGCAGTTTCTGCCTTTGACTTTATTCCTGCTCTGCAAAATCATAGACAGGGCTGAGGGATAAAAGCTGGATGCAAGTGCTCGGAGCGGGGAGGGTTGTGCTTTGCTTAGAAACGCCTCCTGCCTAAAGCTCCGCAGCAGGGTCTGTCTGTCCCTTTGCTCGGGTGCTGCCCCCAAATTCCCGGAGCAGCTCCCGGCCAAAGCAAGGCGGCGAATGGCTTGGCTTGTGCCTTCTGGCCCCTCCTCCCCAGCCACATCCTGGGTGGGCACAGTTCCCGGTGCAAACAAACACTGGCCCCATCCAGAATGAGTCCTGACACACCAAGGTGACAATTAAAGCGCTGCTCTTGCGCCACGGGGCGGGCCATGCTGCCGTGCCGGGGATTTACAGCCGGGAGAAAATGCTGTCGTGGGGAGGAAATAAAACCAAAAGAACCCCACCAAAAGTGGGGTTGCTCAATCGTTGCCGGGAGCCGTGGCGTGATTATCTGGCTACCGTGCGGGGCTGAGCGCCGGCGCCCCGGGTTTGCCCGTTTTGCAAGATTTATTGCTGCTTTTATAAGCAGCCGCCTCCGCAGCGTGTCAGAGTATGCTGAGAGGCTGAGGATGAGCCTCAAATCCCCTTTGCTTCTGACCCTGTGACATCCCATTGGGAAAGCTGGCAGCCTGGCAAAACCGACCTTAAAAAATCATTTATTAATGAAACACCCCCTTCCCCCTCCACGACTTTGGGACTGAGGTGGAATCATAGCAGGAGGGCGAGGAGCATCGCTCGTTTGGGGTCTTGGGGTGGCTGACAGTCTCCTCTCCCCTCCCACAGCCGGGGCCAGCCCCCTCCACGAGTGTGGCGAGCGGCCGGAGGACTGGTGCCGCGACGCGGCCACCGCGGCCAAATGCGGGGCGCTGGAGCTCTGCCGGCTCACGGCGTGGGACCGGGCGCTGGGGGTAACCGAGCTGGGAGCAGGGAATGCGGGGGGCTGCGGGAGAGATACCCGTCTGCCCCAGAACACGGGGATGGCAGGAGAATCCCCGCCCGCCCACCCCAGCATCCCGCATCCCGCAGCAGCGCGTCTGCAGAGCGGATGGCAGAAGCCGATGGGTGCCCCGGGACGTTCACACGGGGTGTTTTTTGGGTGGAGGATTGGGATTTGGGGAGGGTCTGGGTGCCGTGACAGCATCCCGACGTGTCCCCCCTCTGTCTCAGCAGAAGGGGATCCCCTGTCACCTGTGCCAGGTGGCAGTCTCAGTGGTGGGCAAGATCCTGCAGGACAACCGCACTGAGGTGGGTCTCAGTGGGAAGGGGGAGTGGGGCTGGTGCTCCTCCCTGCCAACCCCACTGAGGCCCTGACCTCTCTCTCTGTCACCCAGGAGAAGCTGAGGCTCTTCTTGGATAAGAGATGCCAGTACCTGCCCTTCCAGGACTGGTCTGTCAAGTGCAAGAGGATGGTGGACACGGGCATCCTCGTCCTTGTCCAGCTGGGCAAGCAAGTGCTGGTAATGCAGGGAAGCCCCATGTTTGGGTTTTTCCACAGTTTGGGATGTCCTGGGGGCTTGCAGAGCAAAGAATGCTCCTAGAGCCTGGGACAAACCATCTGAAGGACAAGATGGAGAGGGAAACGACCCAGGGTGGGGTCTGGGTGTGATGGGGGAGGTGCAGCCTCAAGCCCCCACCCCACCCCTCTGCTCCCCCAGTCAGAACCGAAGGTGGTGTGTGGGACCATCAAGTTGTGCCAGCGCCGGAACAGACCCACGGGGACCTTGAAGTATCAGCAGCCACCAGCAGCTGCCACAGGCCCCACCCAGGACTTTTCTGACCTCATTGCCCCCTTCATGGCCAACGTGCCCCTCCTGCTCCATCCCCAGGATCTGCCTCACGGCGAGGCCCAGGTACCGTGGCACAGGCAAGGATGGTGCTGGTCATGGAGCCATGGAACGGTTTGGGTGGGAAGGGACCTTGCAGATCATCTCATTCCAAATCCCTGCCATGAACAGGGAACATGTCCAGGTTGCTCCAAGCCCCATTCAAGCTGGCCTTGGACATTTCCAGGAATTGTGCAGCCACAGCTTCTCTGGACAATCTGTGCCAGCATCCTAATGCTGCTCAGGGGTGAGAATCCCCTTAAAAGTATCACCTACTTAACAACAATCAGAGAAAACCCCTAAAATTTCTGTGGAGATGAAATGACTTCTGGCTGGCAGTGTTGCCAATTTGGGGGGATATTTCAGGATGCAGGAGGGAAATGAGAGATGCCGGTCAGACTGCTGTCCCAAATTGTAGCTAGTGTTTAAATCCCAGCCCAGCACATGCAGGTTGGAGTGGGGGGATTGGTTTTATTTTGGGGGTACCAACGCGTCCCTGCCCTTGTTCTCCTGCAGGAGATGGAGGAGGTGTGCGGGCACTGCCTGCAGCTGGTGACGGCCGTGCAGCAGGAGCTGGGGACCAACACTGCCTTCACCTGGGCGCTGGTGGGCCACGCCAAGAGGGTCTGTGAGACCCTGACACCCGACCTGGCACAGCGGGTGAGGGGCCAGCAGGGTTTGGGCTGGGAGGGGCCTTAGGGACAATCTCATTCCACCATGGGCAGGGACCCCTTCTGCCATCCCAGGCTGCTCCAAGCCCTTTCCAGCCTGGCCTTGGACACTTGCAGGGATGGGCTGCCTTCTCCTCCTGGATGGGAGCATCTCTTGCAGATGCCTGCCCGGGGAGCTGTGGCCAGGTCGGGCCCTGACGCTCTTTCCCTCCCGCAGTGCAAGCGCTCCCTGGCTGAGTACGCAGACACGGCTGCCCAGCTGCTGCACTACCTGGTAAGAGGCTGAAGGCTCCCCGGGAGTGCCAGGGGTCACTGGGTGCCAGCTGGGGGCCTGAGTGGCACAGCCAAGGGGCCTCATCATTGCTCCCTTTTTTTTTTCAAGCTCACTGCCTCATATTCCTACAAAATACTAATTTGTTTTTCCCCACATCTCTGTCTTGCGTCTGCTGAAATTATGTTTTATTTTCATCTTTTCTTGCCGTTTTCTGGCCCCTCCACTGGTAGCAGGCTGAGGTAAGCGAGATCCATGCCCTGATGCACTGAAATTCCCCTCCCAGGTGCCAAAGCCTGCCTGATTTGGGATGTCTCTCTCCCCAGGCCCCAACGGAGCTGTGTGGCCATCTGGGACTCTGTGCCTCCAACTCAGCGCTGCCCCTCCACACGCTGCTCACAGAGAGGGTGATGCAGGTCCTGAGCATGCTGGGGGTAAGTGGGGACCCCTCAATTGTGCTGTACTCCTTGAAATCAAAACACTGTAAAGAGGGAGCCTAATTTTGTATTTTATTTCCACAAGCACCTCCCTTTATCCAAGGTGGGGAATGCCTTATGTGGGGATGATGGTGGAATAGGATGAGGGTGGCTCTGGGGGTGCTTGGCATACATCCTATCCCCTTGTCCCGACAGGACAGGGTGTGGAGCACTCCGCTGTGTGACATGTGCCAGTTCACCGTGAAGACAGTCGAGAGCCTCCTGGAGAACAACGTGACAGAGGTGAGCCCCACCGCTGCTGGGGGCTGGCACGGGGGGCCAAGGGGCAGCAGGGAGCCGGGGTTTCCCTCTTCCGCCTTGTGCCGGCAGGAGCAGCTGGTGAATGACATCGAGAAGGTGTGCTACATGCTGCCCCACGGCGTCATCGGGCAGTGCAAGGACTTCGTCAACTCCTACGGCAAGGCCGTGGTGATCATGCTGCTGGAGGCCACCGACCCCGCGGCCGTCTGCACCATGGTGCGCTGCTGCCCCCGCAGCGGGGACACCCGGCACGGTGAGCTGGCACCCGGAGCCCGGGCAGCGGGGCGTCCCCTCCGCTGGTGCTGATGTGCTGATGGCCGTGTCCTCCAGGGGCTGAATCCCTGGAGCAGCTGGCGGTGAGCGCTGGCGCCTTCTGCAACGTCTGCCAGATCCTCGTCACCTACTTCGACAACGAGCTGCTGAAGAACGAGACGCTGGAGGAGCTGGGCGAGGTGCTGGAGAAGGGCTGCGCCATGCTGCCCATGCCGCTCACCAGCAAGGTGAGCTGAGGGGGCACACCCAGGCCAGCAAAACCACCCCCGATGCTCCCGCCGGGCTCACCCCTCTCTCCCTCCCAGTGCCAGGCGCTGGTGTTGCAGTACGAGCCGGCGGCCGTGCGGCTCTTCGTGCAGATGATGGACCCCACCTTCGTCTGCACTGTGAGTGTCCTCATCCCTGGGGCGGCCCGGGCCAAGATGGGCCTCCTTTGTCCAAGCCTGTGGGCTGGGAGAGGGTTGGGGTGATCAGACGTTCCTCATGGAGGTTTTCTTCCTCTCCTTGCCACCTTTTTCCTTTGCAATGCAGAAAATCAAAGCCTGTGACTCAGGCAAGGAGGATCTCCTGGGCTCGGCCCCCTGTGTCTGGGGCCCGCAGTACTGGTGCAAGAACATGGCCACGGCGGTCGAGTGCAGTGTAAGTGCCGGCCGTGTCCCCTCCCCGGAGCCAGAGGGTGCCGTGCCGGTGGTCCCCACATCCCACGCCATCCCTGTCCTTCCTGCAGGCCGTCGCACACTGCCGGCGCCACGTGTGGAACTAGGAGCCATCTCCCCAGCTGGCTGGACTTGCTCTGCCGTTTGGCTGGGGATCCTGGCTCCCTTCCCTGGGACGTGCCTGCACTCACAGACGGCAATGGCAGGAGCCAACCGGCCTCGTCGTGCTGGCGGGGCTGCGGGGAACCCCAGCGGCCTCGGCCGCTTCCTCTTCCACTCCTGGGGCTTGGATTTCCAAATCAGGTTAAGGGACTCGTTAATATTTTCAGGACTAGGGATTCAGCCTTGACGTCTCTCAGGGTGACTGCAAAATCCCCAACCTCTATTCCCACCTCTATCTCCATTCCCAATCCCTTCTCTACCTCTCCATCCCACCCTGAACCACTCGTATGGCTCAGATCCTGCAATGTGGATCTGTCCCCGTGGGCTGGGCTGGGTTCTGCTGCCCAAATGCTGGCCCCCCACTGCTGGCTGGCGGCGGCCTCACCTGAACATAAAATGAATGAGTTTGGGTGCCAGGATTTCCTTTCACACGCCCATCCCTGCTGGGGGTCCTGTGCTGACCCAGCCGTGGTGGTGAGGGCAGCGGGGTGCTGGCTCGTCCCTCCCCGCCGTGTCGGGGGGATGCCCGCAGTGCCTGATCCTGGGCGTGCATGGGAGCATCCCACCACAAATAAATTTTTCCCGTGAACCTGGCTGGTTGTGTCCTTCCTCCTTGTGCTGGGCGCTGCAATGGGAGTGTGGGCAAACCTGGAGAACATTTAATACTTCCCCCGAAATCCAAGGTGCAGCAACACCGAGGGTGGCACTTCATGAAGGTGATGGATTGAGGGGTGAGTTAAAAGAGGGTCTTCTCTTCCTAAGGGGGTTTGGGCCTGATGGATGTGGGCAGGAAGGACGACAGACAGGTTACCCAAAGCCATAGACAGTGTATTTCTGAGTCCCGTAACAGACCGTGCCCGAAACTCTCCACAAGGTTACGACTGGAAACAAACCCCCGAACAAACAAACCCAAATGCAAGAGAGAAGGGGAAAGAAAAGGGCAACAAAAGACACGCACGAGTACTCGACATCCAGAAGCCTCAGTTAGTCTCTCTCTTTTTCGACATCGCAACAAGTTTTGGTAAAGCCAGCAAAATGGAGGAATGTCTTTGGGTTGGGTTTTCTTTTCTTTTTAATTTTTTGGATCTTTCCTTACTGGAAAGGTGACATTAATGCCAAAAGGATTCGGTCTCTCCCCACACTTCCCTGGTCTTCCCCATGCTCGTGGTCGAGGTGTGACAGCTGCTTGTCCCCGGCCTGTGCCTGGGGATGCTGTGGCAGCACATCACCTGCATCCTCACTGCACCTTCCCCCCGTCCAGTCTGGACTCATCAGATTAATTTAGCTTTTCTTTTCCCTTTTTTTTTTTTTAGAAAAAAAACTTTTTTTTTTTAATAAGAAAAATAAAAAAAATTTAATGGTTTCATGGATAAATGACAGGCGAGTAAAAGCATTCCGGTCCTGAGAGCCCTCTGCCGGGGCCAAGCTCTCCAAGGCTGCCGGAGCCATCTGCACCGGCTAGTCTGGACTCCTGCAGGGAAAGAGGGGGCCAAGCACCGGTCTCGGGCTGCCCCCGGCCCCCAGCACGGCCCCCCTGCTCTGTGCTTCATCCCCGCCGGCCCCGGCTCGCCTAGAGGAGCAGCAGCGGCGGCAGCACCGCTCGTCATAACTCGGTGATCTCCAGAGGGCTCTCCATGATCACCTCCCGCATCTTGTGCAGCGGGGTGGACTTGGCCGACTCGGTGCGGGCGTTGTGGTCGCTGTAGCCCCCGCAGTCGGCGGTCAGAGTCTCCAGCGAGCGACCCAGCACCTTCTGGTCGTCCTCGGGCAGGCTGTTGAGGTCGGAGGCGAGCAGCGTGCCCGTGCTGCCGTGCACCACATGGATGCCGTCGGGACCCTTCAGCTCCACCGGCTGCTTGTGGCGGAAGCGCAGGCTGCCCTGGCTGGGGCTGCGCTCCTCCTCCTCGTCCTCCAGCTCCTTCTGGATCAGCTGCAAGAGAGCCATGGAGGAGGGAGGGAATCACCACTGCAGCCATGGCAGCTCCTGGCTTCCCTGACTCCTGTAATGCTGGAGTCCAGCCAGAGGGAAGGGCCCTGCTCTTCTGAAGCACGCTCAGAGCTTGGTGATGAGGATCACCAGGAGACAGCCTCCAGCTGGATCGCTCCATCCTCAGGCAGATGCCCCAGCTCAGGCACCATCTGCCCGAGATGGGTGGTGTGTCCTGCAGCTGTCCCCAGCATGGCCAAGGAGGATTTGGACCCAGGTTGGAATTTGGGGTTGTATGAGGGTGGAGGGGCAGGAGGCAGAGAGGGAAAGAAGATGAAGGAAGGCTGGATGGGGCTGAAGGGGGATAAGGGCATGGATAGATGGAGGGCAGAAGGGCTGAAAGGCATCTCCCATCCCACTGCTGTTCTCTGCCCTCTTTGCCCCTCATTTTGCACCCCTGTGAAAGGCAGAAGGCCACAGAAGGAGTTTCTTCTCCCCAAACCAGCCCTTCTGCACCAACACTCTCCATCCCAGCATTTTTGCCTCAAAACCCTGTGTTTTTGAGGCAAAAACCAGAGAAGCAGAAGGAAGGGAAGATGCTCCCCCATAGCTTTGGCCAGCCTTGGCAGAAATGGGAGCTGATGGACAGAGCCCAATCTGCAAAGAGGGGTGTCCTCTCCAGGGCTCAGAAAGACCAAGGGAGAAGGTGCTGTGTGCTGATCAGAGGAAACACAGGGAGTCACTGTGGGAAACTAGCAGCCTGGAAAACCAGTGAAAAAACAGCAGTGGGAACCAGTGGAAAACCGATATCTGGCTTGTTTTGACCAAGCAGAGAGTGGGGGCACCACTGGGTGACAGGGACCACAGCCACAGGGAGTGACCACAGCCTGTGGGGCCAGGAAGACACACTGCATCCCAGAGGGCACGGCAAGCACCTCCCCAGAGCCATGCACACCCTCTACCTCCGAGACCGAGGAGCGGTCCCCCTGACTGGCGGTGGCCTTATGCACCATCCGCTGGGCAAAGAGCTTTTTCAGGCGCATGTAATCATCCAGGACCACCTTCAGGAGAGTGCCCTGGGTGGAGGGGGAGAGACTGTGGGTTATCCAGGGGAGATGGGTTCCTCAGAGGGAGGCTGGCCCCACCCCAGCATTTTTTGGAGCGACAGAACCCTTTGGCGCTGTGAACCTGGAAGGTGCAGATGTGAGAGAAGACTCCTGGGTGCAGCACGGCTGCCCTCAGCGCTCACCTTGATGGGTCCCTCCCGCATGATCTGCCCCAGCTTGGCAATGTTGTCGTACTCCTGGATGGCTGCCCGCAGGTAGCGGTCATCCTCGGGCTTGGCGGCGGAGGGCTCCCTGCCGAAGGTGCCCTGCGGGAGGGGACAGCGGCTCAGGAGCTGCCGGGGGCGGCAGCCGCGGGGACACGGTGTCCCGGCGGGGCCGTGTCTCACGTGGGTGCGGGCAGGGCTGTTCCAGAGGTCGGTGATCTCGCTCAGGTTCTCCGGCAGGTCGTCCTCGTGCTCCGCCTGCGCCGCCAGCTCCATGTTCCTGCAGAAGGGGTCCAGCCACACCGGGTTGGCCCTGCCCGGGGGGAGGAACAGCCATCAGGGCAGGCAAAGAGCGCCGTTATCCCTAACCCCGTCCAGAGCCTGGATGCTGAGGCTGCACTGCCTCCTCCTGCTCTGTGCAGGTATGAATTTGGCTGCTCTGGATCCAGATGGGTGTGAAACCCTGCCCATTATCTCTGCTTACCCCAAACCTGGCCAGGATTGGCAGAGATGGAGTCACAAAAGAAAGAATGATATTTTTTAGCTTAGAAAGCTCTCAGAGTGAGCATGTGTCCCAGGATCAGTAATGCTCCATGCAGAGCAGAGCAGAGAGACATCATGTCTCCACCTCCTGACTCGAAACACAGGCATCCCTCTCTTGGGAGCAGCCTCCAGCCCCAGGAGGTGGCACTCACCCATCAAAGGAGTACTTGTTGGTGTTTGGCATGTCCATGATGTCCATGAAGCCTCTGTTCCCTGCAAAAGGCAGGGATGAGAGTTACAGGGCAGCACATTGCTGGGCTTAGCAGCAAACCATGGGGTGACATTTCTTTATTAGGGAGGGATGAAGAGGAACCAAAAAGGCAGTGAGAAACACGGTAGGGTGTGGCAGGTAACACAGAGCTTGAAGCTGAGAAAAGCCTCCCACCATCACACCTCGCTGGGCAGGATCACCTCTGATATACACCCCATGACACCCCCCATGTCTCCCTGTGGCCACCCTCCATGCTCTTCATGCACCCCAACTCTCCCGTGCTGCTGGGACACCCCAAACACTGCTCACCAGTGGAGCCAGCCACGATGGCTTTCAATTTCCTTTTGTGCCTGCAAAAGAAACACAGCCAGCTGGGGTAGAAAATAAGGAACATGCTGGAAAGCAGAAGGACACATAGATTTGCAATGACCCTACATACAGAGGGTGCATTAAATGTTAAATATTAAATAAGGGAGCTTTGAGGGGAGGTATACTAATACCATGAGTATTAAAACCAGGCATTTTGGAGGAAGAGGCATTTGGAAGTTGATGCCCTCCTTTGCTTGCCGGCATTTCCATGGCCAGGAGAAGCCACGCTGCTCCCCCTGGTCTAAGGGGACATTGCAGAGGCTGGGCAGAGCCCAAGAGTTACTCACACTGTCCGGTAGTACCAGTTCATAAGGATGAAGAGCATGGCAGCCAGGAAGAGCAGGACGGCCAGCACGATGATTGCCATCTAGGAGAGACAGAGGCACAGGGAAACATCTGGCATGCAGCCAGCACCTGCTCTGGCCACATGCCCCAAGTTATATGGGTGGAACATCTCTGCAGGCACTGACCAGTCCCCATGGGAAGGGACACCACCCCCAGAGGGCTGGAGCAGCTCCTCCAAGCCCAGCTGGACCCTTACTTGCAGAGCCGAGAGGTCGTCCGGTGCCCGGGCAGTAATGGCAGGCTGCACGTCCAGCACGTTGTAGTTCCTGAAGAGATTCCTCAGCTGCTCTTTGTTCTCGTCTATCATCTGAATAACCCTGGGAAGAGAAGGGTTGCTTGGGCACCTTGACATTGGTCAGGGTCCCCATGGAGCCAGGCTGGTGGGGGGCCAGGGGGCGTACCGCTCCACGTCCAGGATGCGGTTGGTCTCCCTGTTCACCACATGGATCAGCAGCTCTGTCTGGGCAAAGTTCACCCGGCCTTTCTTGTCAACGTGGAACTGGGGAGAGACAGCAAGGTCTGCAGGGTGGGAGAGAAGTCTCCTCCTGAGCATGCCTCGAGGTGTGCTTCTGTGGCAGGAGACCCTCAAGCATCAGTCTGGATCCCTTCAGTACACCCCAGCCTGGGGTGTTTCCATCACCTTCAGAGCCCAGGGGTACCTATGGTTATCCAGGCAGGATTCCCTTGAAGGAGACCTCCCAAACAGCATGTGGAAGGCCATCTACCCCTCAAAGCAAGCTCCAAGGCAGATGGTTACCTGCACGTCGTCCGTGTTGACGATGGCGCCCGTGATGTTGGAGAGCAGGCTGATGAACTCCTCCTCGAACTGCCTGACCTTGTCAGGGATCTCGTTGATGATGATTTTGACCCGCTGGTCATCCCGCAGGATGTAAATCCCCACAATGGCCGTGTCATTGTGGCCC